AAAAGAGCATTAAAATTATTTTTCAACATTAGATGCTCTAATGAACTAACATGAAATTCAAAAATTCAAAAAAATAACTAACGAAATTTGAATTTAAATTAAGGGATAATCATGAATTCAAAATGCTTTGTAATTAGTACTCCCTCTGTTGGATTTTATTAGTCTTGATTTCTATTTAGATTGTCTTAAATTATTTGTCACTAGTACTAAAGGCAAACCCATGTATGTGGAACTTAAGAATAAATTAATTTTTAAGATAATTTTTTTTAATGAATTGATAGTTATGTCATTTGGCAGTTTCTACCTGAAACAGTAATAGAGTCCTATTGCGTAGGGCACAAGATAGGGATGGTTGTTAGATCAACGGTCCTGAACAATTTTATATTTTTGAAACGTTTTATAATTCTAAATGAGTTTCATGCAGAATAATTGTGTTTTTATTGTCAAATTTTACAAGTAATTTACATAAAATTACACGATTTAAAAAATATTACACCGTTCAAAATGACAACCGATCACCCCCTGGGTATAATTGTTAGCCCTCAGTCAGGAATCAACCACGTTCACTCATTCATTTACTGTTGTCAGATTGATGTCAAATAGTACTAAGATTGCTAGTGGAGTTATTTTCCTGGGAAAAAATTGTTAATTAAATGTGATTTGTTGGGTGACAAAAAAAATGACATTATTAATTAGTTATTAACAATTAATTGTCAAAATTGATAATTAAATGTGATTTGTTGGACAACAAAAAAAAGGAGCCCAAATTTTTGTTAATGTGATTTGTTGGGAAAAAAACAATTAATACAAAAAATCGATAATTAAACATAGTTTGTTAGGAGACAAAAAATGAAATTATTAATTAACTATTAATAATGATATATTGTTAAAAATTGGTAGCTAAACATGATTTGTTAAACAATAAAAAAAAGGGAGCCCAATTTGTTGTCAACAAGATTTATTGTTGAAGATAAAAGACCAAATTTTAGCACCATTCATCTAATCAAAACTCGCCACATCACCATTTTCATATGCAATTAGGAGGACTACCACCAATTGATCAATCACAAGGCGACACCTTATCAATTTAGAATCAATTGGAGGACTACCACTAATTGACCAATGAGGCAACACCATCTCAGCAATTGGAGGACTACCACTAATTGACCAATGAGGCAACACCATCTCAGCAATTGAACTCAATTGGGAAGTCTCTCATTCCCCAATAGACTAGATACGTTAATAAAAGTGGTAAATCAAGGAAAATACTTGGGGTTACCAATGGTCATCACAAGAACCAAAGATTATGACTCTGTTTGAATTAGCTGTTTTTGAAAGTGTTTTTGAAATATTTTACTGTAACAATGTATATGGAAAACTTTTACTGCAGATGTTTTTTGTGATATTTTTGGAGATATTTTTGGAATATATTTTAGAGTATTTTTAAAGTTTACAAATTTTTAGGGTATATTCTAAAAATTAACACTACTACTCATCACCACCACCCCTCTCCCTTCTCATCTTCCATTTCTTTCTTCGTTCTCCTCCCTCTTCCTTTTCTCTCTCCCCTCTTCTCTTCCCCTTTCCCGCGATACCCTGCTCCTTCAATTTGGCTTTGATGGGTGTGGCGGGAAAAAGGAGTGGAAGGGGAAGGGAGGAGGAAGAAAGGAGAAGGGGAAGAGAGGAGGAAGAGGGAGGGAGAGGAAAGAGGAGGAGGGAGAGGATGGCGGCGATGGTGGGTAGTGATGATCTTTTAAAGAAGAAGATGATGTAAATTTTTAAAATTTTTTTATATATTTGGAGTTCTTTTTATATATTAAATGGATGTGATGTTTTTGAAATTATTTTTATTTATGTATTACTGTGACATTATATATAAAAAACTTGTTTTTCAAAAAATGAAGAACCCAAACAGAGGCCAAGTTTTTGGTTTCATCAGAGAAAACTGTAAGAAAACTATTTCAAGCTGGAGGAACAAAATGCGAAGCTAGACAGGGAAAGAGGTTTTACTGAAAGCAATAATCATGACAATGCCAACTTATGCAATGTCATGTTTCAAGCTTCCAATGAAACTATCTGAGACATAAATGCAATTGTGGCAAACTTTTGGTGGAGAGAAGAAAATGGAAAAAGGAAAATCCACTGGTGCTCATAGAAGAAGATGACAAATGATAAGGATACTGCTAGACTAGGTTTCAAAGATCTCCAAAGATTCAACAAAGCTCTGCTGGGCAAACAGATTTGGAGGTTTCTCACATGCCCAAATCTTCTGAGGAGCAAAGTGATGAAAGTTAGGTACTATCCCATGGAGTCACCCCTGAACTATAAAGTCAAGAGCAATTCATCTTGGATATGGCAAATTTTGATGGGAGGTAGAAATGAAGTAAATAGAGGAGCGAGAAAGAAAATTGGGAACGGTAAGAACACTAAAATTTGGGAAGATGCTTGGATACAGGATTGCAAAACCTCCAGGTTGCCAGATTAGCAAAGTGAGTAAGTTAATAATCTTTGGAATTTGACTCATTGGTACTAGAGGTGGCAATTTGTCCCAAGTCCCAATAGGTTACCCATGTCCAAAAAGACTTTGGGTGAGATGGATATTGCAATTTGATATTGGGTTTAAAATGGGATGCATCCCAATTATACCCATTATTTGATGGGAAATGTTGGGAAATACTTGGGTACCCATTGGGCCCAAATATCTTTTCAAAAAATTTCATTTATCAAAAAATTCTTCTTTGATTTTTTTTTTTTTTTTTTGCAAAAATCTGATTTTTTTTCACTTCCATTTTCTTTCTTTTCCTTTCTTCACTTTCCTACAAAAGAAAACCAATTAAGTAAAAATGATTTCATTTAAACAACTTTAAAAAAACAAAGATAACAATAAAAATAAAATGAATTGGTAAAACTTTGGTGTCGACAAGAATCAATGCTTTACTAACAACTGTTAGCATCCTCTATGTTGATTTTATACTAATTGTTGAACTATCTATATAGATTTCTATATGCAATCCTGTTATCAATTTTTAATCAGGTTCTTCGTTTCTGTGCTAGCTTTATTCAACATTTAATGTGAATTTCGTTTGTATCAAATTTTGGAAATTTTAAGAATGTCAGTAAGAATGAATTTGGTGTTAAAAAAATCTTGTTTCTAGTCCTTGTGTCAGACAATATTATGGGTAAGGTTGGAATATTGCTGTATATCTATCTTTTCCTTTATTTGTTAATCCAATTTTTGGTTTAATTCAGGGAGAAGATATGTTCATTCTTACCAAAATGTTATGTCTTTTAAAAGTAACTGTTGATCGTTCTAAAGTGTAAATGAATTCAGGAAAATATAAATTCACAATAAGATCAAAAGAAATTTAATAAATAAAAATATTAAAGTTATATAAAAAATAAAAAAGAATTAAAGAAAAAAAATATAGAAAATAGATTTGGGTATTGGGCGGGATCAATCTAAACTCATTCCAAAGTGATCCCGCCTAAGTTAATCCCAAAACACATATGGGTAAGGTTAGACCCAATCCCATATGATTCGGTTTCATTTTCTGTCCAAGCAAATCCCGTCCATCCCGCCCATTTTGCCACCTCTAATTGGTACTATTTATTTCTTTTTTGATGCCCTCGACATCCGCTCCATACATTTTCATTGTTTTGATTACTTGCTTCTTCTTCTTTTTTTTTTTTTTTTTTTGAGGTAGGGGGGGGAACTTCCTAATCAAATGTGCATGCAGATGGCTAAAACATATGCATAGATTAAAAAAACGAGTAAATTATATATATATATATATATATATATATATATATATATATTGACAGTATATACACTATCACTGTTGAATTTATAATATACGTGTAAAAGTTGAATTTCAATTCAAATTTTGTATAATTTATCATTCATCTGACAGTGTATAGAAGATTAATTCTTTAAAAAAATCAAATATTCCAACGTAAGTCTCATCGGGAAATCAGATTTCACTTCTCAATAGCTGAGCAAAATGAAATATTCCAAATGCCCAGAGCAGCAATATTTTGACCATGGATAAAAACCAAACGGTCTAAACAAAAAAAACTTACAGAAACGAATAGAAAGGAATCCATAACAAGCCCAGAACCAATACAAATTCCACTTAGGCAAAAAAGATTTGGTAACTACCACTGCATATCAGTTTCTCCTTCAAGAAAAAATTACCAATATTTACATGTAAATATGTAATAAGATTATCTCTATAGTAGGTAAAGTTGAGATTTCAAGAATTAGACGTTTTAGATTCAAAAGTGGTGTTCGCTATTCTTTTCTTGACCGTTTGGGACTTTTTTTTCTTGTGTTGATCCTTGCCATATAACTACATATTTTCTTTTTAAGCTGTTAGTTTTAAGTTCATGGTCATGCAGAAAGAAATATAGTAATATCATGAATTGGCCTTCTCAAATCATTTGCTGGATTTTTAAGTGCAATAAGTGAAAAAAAAAAATATAGCTTAATCACAATCTGCTAAAGGCTAATTAAGGAAAGAGCATTACTACCTCAAGCACATGATTGCCATGCCAAATCAACTAATTAAGTTTTCTCTGGTGCACTCCTTTAATTGTTTAAGCGACCAAGGACCCCATTGTAAATTAATCGAATCTCCTTGGATTGATCAGGTTTTGTTTTGGCCTCTGCTGCATTATTTCCTACGAATCAACTATACAATCTGGTTTGTGTTGAACTCTTGAGTAGCAATACCCAGAATGAATGTTATTTTTTGGGGTTGTTTCAGACGTCCTATCTGAATGGAGAAGGAAAGTTTCTGTCATCAGTTTTCTCCTGAATTCGGTTTTAGAGTAAAGCAGCTTATGATCTTCTTTTGACCAAAGTAGAGGCAACGATCTTATTAGCAAGCAGGCTAATACTTTAATTTCATCACTGCATGATATACTATGGTTATTAAGAAATAAGAGTTTCATTTTCCAGTCCTCAGCGGTCAACAACTATATTGGAGAATCAAAAAAAATATCTGGTGACACAATTTTCCTTTAATTAAACGGATGCGAGGATGAAATAAGTAATCCTGTTTTCTACACTGAACAAAACGTAACAACGAGTGGTAGCCTTTGGAAAATCATGCACTATGACAGTGGAAGATAAATCAAAGTCACTCATTTTGCAATCCAAACAGCAGTTATAGAAAACCATTTTGTTTGCAACACTGAATTGCTGCATCAAACATGTCTTCAATGCTGTATTTGTATTCGAATCCAGTGTCCAAAAGTTTCTTGGAAGAAAGGCTACCAGATTCTTCGGATCCTGTCATCTCCTTCAAGGAACTGTAAGGAACTGACTTCACTTAGATTTTCATTTCATCAATATGTATTCAAATAACAGTAAGATAACAGAACTTACTCAGCAGTTGGTATTGGATACTCAGGGTACCTAGCGGACAGGCATTCGGCTAACTTATCAATAGTGACTTCAACAGCAGAACAAATATACCTCCCTTTAGCTTCAGGATACTCAAACAGAAAGATGTGTGCCCTGGCCACATCATCAGTATGCACAAATGGTGTTTTATAATGATACTTAATGCTGAATTCATCTTGATGACCTGCACAATAAGAAAAGTTCCAGGCTGAGAGGATCCTCAAGTGAAACTTTTGATGACTAGCATTCTTAGACTTTAAACCATTCTTTGCCTGTTTCAAGCTAATGCAGAGTTGATGATAGCTATTTCTGAGGTAGTGCAGGCAAATTAGTCAGACAAGCATTCCTCAGTGAAATATGTTTGCCTAGTTATATTTCTTGCAAAGTTCAACCTAAAATTCATGTGCTATCTGAAACTTTTCAAATAATGCAGACAAATTCAAGTGAAGAAATACTTAATTTTGTCTTTCTGATGCTTGCAAACTAATTAAGAAAGGGTAACAGAAAGAAGTGAGTCATGCTATTCTGATAAACAAAAGCTTACCAATGATCATTGCCATTGAGGAGCGTACAGAGCCAGGCATAAAAGGGCATACAAAGGGGCCATGTATCCAGGTAGGAATTATGCTCACAAGATCAAGCCCATTTTTCTCTGCAAATTCCAATGCAGCTTTTTCTGTTAACGTCTTGGTGATTGCATAAGAGACCGGCCCACTACCACCAAAGATCCTCCTAATATGATCTACATCACTCCAGATGCTTTCATCCACCATGTTTAGGCCCTTATCATTTGACCAGACAGTGGATGCACTGGAAGTATAAACAACTCGCTTCACTGTCTTGGAATTAAGGCATGCCTGAAGAATCCCAATTGTTCCCCTGATAGATCTATTGATCTTTGTTTCCTCGGTTTCTTTGCCCTCAAAATCCATAGGGTGAGCAACATGAAAGACTCCAATGCAGCCTTCAATTGCTGCATTAAAGCTGTCTGGTTTATCAAGATCAGCGTTGATAACTCGTAGTCTTTCTAATGCACCAGGTAGTTCTGTGAGGTGGTTAATGTTTTTCTTTGGATCTGGCAGTGAGTTTCAAATGTCAATTTTTGATAGTAACAGTCCGATAACACTCAGAACTAGCACTCAGTCTACAAATGGAGATTAAAAAACTTTCAAAATTCAACTTTTTGTCCCGTGATGTTCAATTGAGTATTCTTGGATAAGCTCAAACTTCACTCATGTCGCAGCTTTGCTAATATAAGCCTTCCTTTAGCATGTATAGAAACAAAATTGAAAAACCATTTTTGTTTAATCTGATCTCAGAGATCCAATCTCATAGATGTGCTGTTGCATGCATAAATTCTTACAGAGTTTAAGCAAGGATAGATTATCATGCAGCATTGGTAGAATTGTAGGCTACATATACACTACCGTTTTTGTGGGAAAGTGTAGACTGAATATCTCAAACACATTAGTATTATCTACCAATATTGGTTATAAGATTCTTGTTTTTAAATCCCTCCCACCCCACCTTCTCAACTTCCATCTGCTATGTTCAGGATTTAAACCTTGGAATCGAAACTCCCTGACCTCGGTCTCAATGGTTTTAAAAGACACCAAAATTATTCTGAAGTCATAAAGTATGGGACATCTATTTGCATCCTGGAAATATAGCTACATCTTGCTAGAACTATCGCCCTGTCCCAGCTATGACTTAACGGGGGGAAAACATCAATAAAACCATCAAGGGGAACCTCCACGAAGATTGGGTGCATTCACTTTTTTTTTTTTTTTGGTGTCTTTCTTATGGTAACTACAATTAACAGTACATATTGTATGTCTAATCAGATGGTGTTTTGATCCTGGGAGTACATTTGTGGCTTTATCATAGCTTTGTTATCATGAAACAATAACATTACACATAAAAAAAATGCTTCAATAGCGTTTCTGTTTCATGAGATTAATTTGAGGGTTTTGGAGCACAGAGACTTTCATATTCACATTCGACCATCAACAACCAATTGACTTAGTCAGATGAAAACAAGGGCTAAAGAATAGAAAAGATTATTATTATCCATTACAAGTACATGCATGCTAACGTAATCTTGGTTGGTTTTTACTTGGCGTGCCAGAAAAGAAGTGGATTTCTGGCATAATCAGCAGGGTTCAATTCTTATAGTACTTGGTTCGTTTACTAAAATGGCAAGTTGTATATAGTTGGCGAGGGAGGAAACGATACAGACGGAAATGGTAAAGTAGGAGAAGTAGAGAACTGATTACTAGTAAATCAACAAACATGAAAACCTGAAGAGGGCCTAATTGTAGCGTTGACAGAATAACCATCTTCAAGCAGCCTTTTGATCAACCATGATGCCAAAAATCCAGTTCCACCAGTTACACATACTCTCCCCTTCTCCATCTTCTCCCCTTCCATTAATTTGTGTCCCTCTAGCCTTTAATACCAGTCTAGTATTGTTTGGGCTCTTTAATTTGCAGTGGATTGCAAGTTTCAACTTGAAGAATTAATGGAGATATTTCTTAGCCCTCAGTCAGGAATCAACCACGTTCACTCGTTCATGTATTGTTGTCAGATCGATGTCAAAATAGTACTAAGATTGCTAGTGGAGTTATTTTCCTAGGAATAAAAGTCAAAATAGACACCTGTTCATTGGTTAGAATGATTGAAAAGGTGATGTTGCTGGTCCAATAGACACCTGTTTGGAGCTGAGCCACAGCCTGAGAGTGCCCAACGTACCAAATGCTTTGTAATTAGTTTGGTAGTTAATTAAAACCACAAAGGCTATGCGTTTTAATGAACTACAATAATAACATATTAAAAATTAATTTAGCTTTGTTTGGAGGATTTGGATATAAATAGAAGAAGATATAAATTGGGATTAAAAAGGATAAAACTAGTATTAAAAGGGAAATGAAAAAAAGACTAACCTCCCAACTCTGCCTTTCATTGAATTTTCAAAAAGAGCATTAAAATTATTTTTCAACATTATTATGTTTCGACATTAGATGCTCTAACGAACTAACATGAAATTCGAAAATTCAAAAAAATAACTAATTAAATTTGTATTTAAATTAAGGGATAATCATGGAAGGGAATTTAAATTTGAATAACAAACAAAAATAACTAGCATTAGATGCTCTAAACAAATTGTATACATCGTGGTGCATTTATTTGCTGGAGTGAGGCGTCCAACAAATTGAGACTGATTGATGTGATGCCTCTCCACATTAGCTATTCTGGGAAAGACATGCTACATATTATCCTTGCATTCCCAGAAATCATAGGGAGACACGGACTAATATCTCAGCCATGACAAGTTTTGACACTATTGTAGCCTATCTAGATAAACAGCTGCACTTTGCAACTGCAGATTCGCAAGTCATCATCTCAAAGCTTTCAATTAACCGCATCGGGTTGTCTTTCGGGCAGAGAATCAAGAAATTCTGGTAAAGCCTTGTATGAATTGAATATCCTGCTCAATGTAGGGAACTTAGACTGCAAAAGAACAAGAAAAGGGACAATATGATACTTAAAAATCACCATATTGCACCAAAGAAGGAAACTATCTTCAGAAGCACAGTGCAGGAAACATGTATAAACTCTAAAGGAAACAATGGTCGTGTTTCTGGGACATGAATATTCCTGCTTGTGGGCATCCAGAAACAAATTTCACAACATACCAAGTATGTTCTTTTAGAGGTTTACAATGGGATGCAGCTATGAGTTAACAAACAAATGGAGTAAAACTCAAAAGGCTTTGGTGTGGAGGCAAACACAAAACAAGCAATGTCTCAGTGCATGACAGGTACATGTATGTATTGTTGCGTTGGGACTTACCATGTCAATATTAAACCTTTTTATTGCAACAGCAATTTGCGGTGCCAAAAATACATCAGCCTGCAACATCCACAAGTCCAAGTTCAATAATGACCGTTGAAACCATCAGATTTCAACTTTCTGTTCGTTGTTTCCTGGGACAGATTTTTAGCTGCAGGTAGTTTCAATTCCAAAAACAACAAAGCAGTTTTCATTTCTGTTCCATCCAAATTCATTTGGTGATCTCCACATTTATACGACTTTCAGTAACAAAAGAATATTCTCACATATTCATACATGCACAACGTTCTTAACAGTTCAGGTTGTTGGAAGATGACTCTATTTGATACTCGACTATCTCCATACTCAAATCCAAAATAAAAAGATAATCAGACATGAATTACTACTATACCAAGTATATTTCATCTCCTGTAGCATATTTCCCAGCAAGGCTGTTTAGCAACTTCTCAAGAGCTGCACAGAAACAAGATCCAATTCGTATTACAACTACCCCAAAAAATTACGGCAATAGATGAACACTGAGGTGCAAAATGCAAGATACAAGCAGTGTCCATTTAAAGCATGACCCCAATGTTCCTCATCGATCAAGAATACCAGACCTCAAAATGTCACAGACAAGAATTGACTAGATCAGTCATTCTCTAGTTCCGTAAGCAACAGTTTGAAAGAGTTTTTTTTCCACATTTTCCAGTAATTAGATTTTTTTGATTGATTTATCAATTATTTAAACATCTGTTTTAGTCCATTTCATATGATAAACTCATAAAACTCTATGTTTAATCTAACAAGAATCTAAACAGTTTTTGTCCAGTTAACAACAACATCTTGTGAGTAGTCCCTGAATCAGAACCAATTTGTGATTACCATGATTCCTCAGTGATAAATCAGAGTTTTTTTGACTAACTCATCTGCACAAGTTCCAATCATTATAAGAAAGTAAGCCAGTGTATCTACATGATTGGCTTGAGTAACAAGAACTCTAGAAGACAATGCAATAGTACCAATTCTTTCTTCCCCGAAACACAATATCTGAAGATCTCGGAGAAAGCAAGGGCAGTTAAATCGTTCAATATGTCATGATGAAAGACAAAACTCTCTGCAGGACAAGTTCAAAGAATACATTGCCATTTAATTGTTTTTCCAAATACTACATTTGCTAGGATAAAGAAAGAACACATTTGGGATGTCATTTGTGTCATCTATTAAGTGGTCTTCATCCACGTATGAGATAAGAGCAGTAGTTTCATCTAAACAGATGAAAATGGCTGGTGAACTTAAAGAGCGTTGACTGTGATGTGTATAGCTGCACCAACACAGCTAAGACAGATTTCAGACCCATAGAAGCCCAGTGAAATCATAGGCAAATCTACATCATGATTTTGGACTTGAGGGGATACAAGAAAATGCGATCTCCCTTTTGAAATAGAAGAAGTTTGAGCACTTGGGATAACTAGAAAGGACAAAACAGATGGCAAAATGAAGTTTATGTTTTGAATTTTTCCTAAAAGTACTTGCGATTTAATCATCAAAACTCAGTTACTAAAGCATGGTAAGAACTAAGAAGGGATCACTTCAAGCCTGGAAACATAAGAAAAGCAGTAACCAGAATGACAGATTCCAACATAAATACTCACCAAAGAAGCCTGTCTCTATCTTAGATTGAGCCCATGATGATCTTTCTTCGGAACCAAATTTTTCCTCAATATTCCTCTATAAAATGGAAAAGAGATGAGAAACTAAACCTAAAGGTTCTATCCTGCCTAAAATATCAAAATGGCGGTGAGGAACTTTATACCAGCACTGACACCATATGCAGAGGCTGTATGCTGGAGGAGACAATGTTTGCAGCCTGTAAGAGAAACATACCTCCTCCAATGAGCGAAGAAGAAGTTTGCTTGAACAAGTAATCTCAAGCATCAGCGTTATTTACTTAGCGCAGAAAAACATCAATAGGTAAACAGCATGAGCTGTCCATGTGAAACACTTAATGTTCCTGTCTTGATGGAAACTTATGTTTGAAATAACAAGCCAGCAAATGTTGTTTTACCGCATCACAAACTATACTTCACAAATTAGTATGAGTAACTCCCTATTCTTGCTTCTCTTAAAGGTGAACTTATGTATTGGCCCCGTTGGTAATGCAATGCTTACAGGTACAACCATATCTTGGTCATCCTAAGGCCTTTCATGGAATTATTCAGAAGTCCTTGGAGCTAACCTGAAGATTGAGGGCTCGTAGTCCAGGATCAAGGGGCATTAATGCTTTGTGGGGATACTTCTCCTCCAGATACTAGCCAATAGTTGCCAGCAGAGAATTTGCACAGAAGTTAGAAAAGCATTAAAAGGAAAACCTTATCGGGGAAAATAAGTAGGAAGAACAGAGTAAACAGTCATTTAGAGCAAACCAGCAATATTGCCAATGAATCAGACACCACCAAATCTGCATCAGCCAACGCAGGAACATAATGTAGTGGATTTATTTTCTCAAACTCTGCACAACATTTCCATGAAAATGAATGAATAGCAGTATTTCTCAACCACATGTACAATAGCACGACTCTAACAGTGTATCTTGGATTACATGAAAGTAAAGAGCAGGCAAAAAACTTGATACAACAATCATTTGATAAGTACTATGAAATAGGCATCAGGTTTATGGAAATCTTATCGCACTGTTTGTTGCAGTTGACTTCTAATACTAAAATGACACATTTTATAAAATATCTGTTTTTTTGTTTGGTTCTAGATTTTTATCAAAACTTTATTAACTTCTCATTGAAAAACAAGTAAAGAATAGTTTTCCTCCAAATGTTTCACGATTCTAAACGTATCAAAACATAATGAAATTGTCGAAAAAAACAAGAAAAAGCAAAAGGAGTGATGAGTATGACAGATGCAATGTTGTTAAGAGCACTAAACAACTCAAATGACTCAATCGAAAGGCCAGAAGAAGGAGACAGAGAGAACCTGGGCTGAATTGCTCTCCTTTCCTAAGATTTACTGCTCTATAGTCATACGGAAGCCCTGTACTCCCAAAGAAAGAACAAATAAATGAGTCAACAACAGCAAAATTAAAAGAGTTCCTAGTCGCATACCAAAAATAAGTTCTTGAGCAAGAAATGAAAACAGGATTGATGGAGAACCTTTAAGATTCAAAGCAAAGCGGACTCTCCAAGAGCATGAACTCTGCCAGAAAGAGTAGAGTATAAGCTTTGGAGGGGCTGTTGATGTTGAATTATCAACAGGGCTCGCACTCTTCTGCTGCATTTGGATTGACTTAATGATTTACAATCACCAAACAAGCTAATACTGTAATCACTGGGCAAGAAGAGGTTGCTCCTCGTAGTGACTAACCAAATTGAAAGAGAAAAACGTTATTCAATGAGTTTGGTTGTGAAAAGTTCAAGAACTGTTAGGAAATAATTACAGGGGCAAGACAGATCCTAGGAAAGGCTAAACTCATTAGTCAGCTAAAATGTACAAAGGATTGGCCTAGGAGGTACGGTGCTTGGCCCTCTTGGTTTTGGATATGGATATAGGGGTGCTTGGTTTCTCGGTGGATATATTCGGTTATTCTCATGTATGGGGAATTTACTGAGCTATGCTGCCACTGCCCCTAATCCACTTTGTGTAGCAACTAATCCTTGTTTGGAATGTTAGTTTCCGTAGAAAAATGTTTATGTTTCCGTGAATATATTTTTTAATTATCTTTTTATCTCATATTAGGGGTGGACACATGTCGGGTACCCACCCCTAATAAGATTTGGCTGACCCGATTCTAAAATATCGGATCAGCCATTTTGCGACCCTAACCCGCTCCTAATATTTTCGGGTACTCGAAAAAAATGGACGGGTCATAGGGTACTCGCCCCTAAAAAAAACTATTTTTCAATAAAAAAATATTTTTCACTTAATATCAACATGTTTTCCAATAAAAAAAAAGTATGTTTTGCAATTAACATTGGTAGAGATATTATAATTAAAATCCATACATCACCATTCTCACACATTTCATCCAATAATCAAACCGATTTCATAAATTTAGTATATATTAGAATTATAATATCTAATAGATAAAACGAAATTTTATGATAATTTTGAGTACATCACCATTCTCACGCATTTCATCCTTTTACAACATAACAAACACAAGGATAATAAGTATATGACAACTTTTTCAACTTCCTTAAGGATATTATGGTACAAAATTGCATCCAAAATGAGTTGATTGTGGAATCAAGTCCGGAAAAGAATTGAACAGAACTAATAATTTTTGAAGAAAGTATAACCAAAATAATTTTGAAAAATTTTCCCCAACATTCTTACATCTTTGGAATAGACCTTGTTGCATTAAATGTGATGAAAAAGAAAAATAAATTTCTTGCACTAAAATAAATGAGACAAATTTAAGAGACACAATTGCAATAAAATAAATAAATAAATGAAAGACACAAATGTTTTAATTATCTAGCTAACAGAAAATTGGAGCTCCAAACACAAATTTTTGATTGAATTGAAGAAAAATTTGCAGGACAGATCGATCGAAGTAGAATAAAAATGAAAAAAAATGAAAGGGATGAACAATTTTTATGATAGAGTTTCACAAATTTTTCTTTGTTTTATTCATTTGGTTCAAGTTTCACCAAGAATATTGGTTTTTTTTAGACAAGATGAGGAGAGGCGGATCATATGAGATTAAAATATGAGATTGTGAACCACTTTACTTACACTTAGGATTAAAAATTATAAAATTATATAATGAACCCTTATTTTTTTAATATTTATATAATATACCCTGCGGGTCGGATACCCGCGGACATTTATTTTGCTGATCCGTATCCGTATCCGTTTTTGCGGGTACCCGACCTGCATCTGCCGCTCTAAGAAAACTAGGATCGAATATCCTATTTTTCGGATCGGATTGGGTTAGTCAGGTTTCGGATTGAATCGAATTTTTTTGCCCACCCCTATCTCATATTCATCAAATCGTTACAGTATATTTTTTTTTATAAAAATTCCTAAAAATAGCAATCCAAACAGAGTAGGAACCAAAAAAAATATATATATATATATATAATTAGTACTTGTTAGGTGTAATGTTAGTATTTCCTAATGATAAATGCTTATCTAACTGCATTGTTATATTTGGCACTATAGTGCGTAGAACTTTTCAAATAATTGTGACAAAAACAAAAAACAAAAACAAAAAAACTAGTAATAACTCACCTTCGTAGAACTTGAAAGGAAAAGAAGAACACATCAATTTTTTGTGCAGACGATTTCTAGAAAGTTTTATACCAAATGGTAACAATGATAAATTATCTACTTTCAACTGAAATTTAGAGTTTTCCTTTAAGATTTATTATTTGCACGACCAATTTTGGTTCTCTGAACAATATTATGATTTACTATTAATTAAATATTAAATGTGCCCTTCCTATGTATATGTTTCAGTTGCACTCTAAATTACCTTGACGTATGATCATTCACTTTGGGGCCAAAAGATGCTAAGAAACACATTCGAAAAAGGCAATACTTGTTAATCAATTTAATAATTACTCCACTATTTGTTTTAACTTTTAAGTAAGTTCTGAGTCTAAATGAATCCCCCATGGTTAATTCACAAGGGTTCATCAATCGCTATCTTTCTCTTTCCCCTGACTTTTTTCCTTTAACAATTAATTAATTTTGTGAAATAAATTCTTGTGTTCCTGATTACAAACAGAAATCTATTGGGTTTCTGTATAATTTTCTAAAGTCTAGGTGCATTTCTGTTATTTCGCAAAAATATTCAGCCCTTCTAAGTAATAGCTTAGCAGCCCAAGAAGTCGAAGATCTCCCGCCCGTATCAGACCTATAAATACTCCAGGGGTTAAGAGCAGTATTAAGCCAAAGGTCCAGAACCTTCAAATCTTTGTTACACTTTCCTTTCTCCTGGGTTTGAAGATTTCAGACAGAAAAACAAATTAATCAAGCCCTGAATAGTTCAAAACTTTTCTTCTACAAGAATGGCTTTCTGGGGTCAGTTGCTGCGTTGTTATATTGGTGATATACTTTATTATTACGTCCCCAGTTTAACCCACTAACAATATTGGATTTTTTGTTCTTTTCTTTTTCTGATTACATTTTTCAGGAATTGAAGTGAAACCGGGAAAGCCCGTTACTCATTCTTTTGATAAAGTACGTCGAAGGCTACGAATTTCCCAGGTAATAATTCTCAAGAATGCATATTTGAATGATTGGTTTTTCGCATTTTTCCAGTTTGTATTTGCTATTCCAGTGCTTTTTTTTTCCTTCCTCTAAAAAAATTTCGGCCCATTTTTCGGAATTTCATAATTAAGAATTAATTGGGTTTTTCTGTGATGGATTTTCTATTGAGTATCCATGTTTGACATTGAATTTAAGAAAAGGAGAGAGAAGGGAAAACTATTAGAAGAAAAAGAAAGAAAGAGGAGAATCACTGAAAGTTATGTAGATTTTTGTGTCATATCTGATACTGGATCTGAAAATTTGATTATCTTTGTTGCACGCTTTCTTTTCTTTCATGATGGTATGGTGTACGAGGATTACATTTTTGTCATTTAATTGGATTTCTTGTTATATTGTTTAGGCCACACTGGGAATCGGATCAGCAATAACAAAGAGTTTAGTCCAATGTAATGTGGGGAACAAGAGTCCTGTTTTTCTATGTGCATTATTGCCTGATAAGACAGAATCATGCCACTTGGATTTGGAATTTGAGGAGGCGGATGATGTGGTTTTTTCTGTTATTGGTCCTCGAGGCGTTTACCTGACTGGTTACTATGTTAGCAATGATCAGCATCCAGCTCTGAACAGTGATACGTATCCTTTCCTGTTTGTTTTTTGTCTTTTTTGGTTCTCATTGCTTTCTACAAAAGCATTAGAGGCACGGCATGTCATTTGAATTATCTTTCCTTGACTTTGCTCTTAAGTCGCATAGTCATTACAATCTTGGTGATATTATGATGTTCCTTTACCACACTCCCTCCTTCGAGGAAACATGCTTTTTGTCATTTTGTTGCTTTGAGGTAGATGCTTGAAACTTCTAAATTTCCTTCATTTATTGCAAAAGAGAGTCGTATGGTGAGGATATTGCAAATACTGAGACAGAAGAATCTGGTTTGCGTAGTGATGAGGATGAATATGAAGATAGCTTTATTGATGATAGTGATCCGGTGGTGTCACCACCCTCAGCTGATGGAGGTATATGCAGCATAACCCTTCTTTAATTTCATTCTTTCTCTGCAGAAGTTCAGCATCATTGACTCAAAATCTTCTCTTAAGCTGATTGTTGATATGTTTAACAAAAATCACAAATCTTCGCTGCGTATGTTTGCACTGTTTAGTGTTTTTAGCTGATCAGATCTTCTTCAGTATAACAAATAAGGTATCAGTGTTAATCATTCGGCAGTGATGGATGATTACATTACAACAGTATGTGTTTCTAAATAAGTTGTTTGACCGTGTTGGATTGAAGCAATGGCTGATTATTTTCTTTATCTGGACTTGTGTGTTTCCTCCGTCTATCAGCTTTTTGTCATCAATTATCTGTCTTTTCTTTTTTGCATGCTTTCTGTGATATTTTTCATATTTTATTAGTCAGAATCTTACTGAAGTCTAGATTTGTTGATGATCCAGTTGTTAAGGAGATGGACAATGAGAAGGAGATGAGAGAAAGGAAAGGCAGTAAACGACTGCAAGGGAAGAAATTTGTTATAATTGATTCTGATGACGAAACTACTTCTCAGGAGAGTGAAGATGAGGATAATCACCTTATATCTGCATCTAAGAATAATATGGTTGCAAAAGACAAGGTAACAGTTGAAACAATTGCTGAGCCAGCAGATTGTGGTGCTTCTGGCCATGTATCAAAGGAAAAAGCTGATCCTGTTACCATGCCAAAAGAACCGAAGAGGTGGCTTTTAGTTGCATTACTTCTCACATTATCTCTTTTAGTGAACTTAGTTATGTTCATGTACCTCCATCAAACTAGAATGCATGTATGAAGTTTACTCTTCCTAATTTTGCTCATTTTTTCATTTTCTATGTTGCTTTCTTTGTTAACTTCAGAATTCAATCTCACTATACAGTACGGTGACCTGTGTAGTGGATAAATTCTTTCAAGTTGTTCCCCATAGTACAAATTTAGGTACTATTATTCATTGGGTCCCTGTTGATTGTTTTTCAAAATTCCTGGGTACAGGAAAACCCTACCATGTAATGCATCATTTCCTGCTGATGAAGTCAAATTAGATAAAGAGATGGAGCCACAGGAAATCAGGTGCCTCTCCCAGGAGGCAGAAACTTTTGAAGATAATTCTGTTAACCCTATTGATTCCCCTGTACATCAAGTTCATGCAAATTTGGCAAAGGTTGATGACGCATCTGGGAGTCTGCATGCAAGTAAAAAAGAAGATAAGAGGCAAGCGATTTCATTTTCTAGCACTCTTTCCTTCTGCATCTTGTCTACCTAATTTATGCATGCATATGCCATCTTTAGGAGACATG